TTTATGAAAAAGACAAAGACATAGACATAGTGTTGAATAAATTTAAAAGCTTTTTTAACATATTACAAAGAGATGGACAAACAGCAGATATTCAATGGAATAGCTGAATTTCCAAAAGGCATCTGATGAAGTACCACACAAGTTGAGAGCTGGTGAGTTTAGAGTAATAGAGATTACCCTAGAGACAGAACTGGCTTACAGAGAAGATATGGAAGTGCGAGTGTTGGACTGAGGTGGACAAAGTCAGAAGTCACGCATCACCAGGTTGTTGTCTAACAGATTTATTTGAAATCACAAGCTTTCAGGGCGCTGCTCCTTCATCAGGTGAAGTCAGATGAAGGAGCAGCACCCTGAAAGCTTGCGATTTCAAATAAACCTGTTAGACAATAACCTGGTGTTGTGTGACTTCAGACTTTACAGAGAAGATGCCAAGCATAGGGCTAAACCAGGCATTTTCAAGCTAGCAGTCTGCGACCAGTGAAGTGCCAAAGATCAGAATGGAGGTGTCAAATACTTGCAACCTAAATTAAATGAGTTGGACAAGAAAAGACTAAGAGGAATTAACTATGTTTGTTGACAATACAAAGTTAGGTGGGAAAACAAGCTGCCAGAACATAAAAAATTTACATAGAGATAAAGACAGGTTAAGTGAGTGAACAAATAAGGTGGCAGATGAAACATAATGTGGGGATGTTATGTCAAGTGCTTGGGTTGCAAGAACAGAAAAGAATTTTGGTTTTCAAAAGAAGTCACAAAACTTCAAAACATTGATGTGTCAAGGGACCCTGGTGAACCCTATATGGAATATAAAGCTACCATACAATGCGAAAGCCAAATCGCATGTTAGCCATCACTACAAAAGAATTGGAATAGAGGAATGAAGGTCTTCTCTTATAATCATATTTAGCTTTGGTGAGACCACAACTGGAAACTATGTGCAGTTTTGATCTTCATATTTCAGCAAGAATGTACAGTACTTGCATTGGGAGCTGCAGAGTAAATATTCACTGGAATGTTCCCTAGGACAATGGGACATTGTACTGTGATGAAGGGACAGGTAACTGGGTCTATATTCCCTGGAGGAGTTGTGCAAAAAAAAGGATGCTCTCACTAAATCATTGAAAATTCTGATAGGGCTCGACAGGATAGATACTGAGAGGTTGTTTCTTCTGGTTCAGGGGCACAGCATCTCAAAGGTAAAGGGACCAAACATTTAGCAAAATTTTAAAAAAAGAACTGCAGATGCTGGAAATAAGCAATTAAGACGTTGCTAGAGAAAACTCAGCAGGTCTGGCAGCATCTTTGTTTTCCTTCCACAGATGCTGCCAGACCTGCGGAGTCTTTTTCTGACAATTTCTTTTGTTGTTATCAATTAGGATTGAGAGGAGGAATTTCTTCAGAGTTATGAATTTCCCAAATTATCTACACCAGCAAGTTGTGGATTCTCAACCCATTAAAATGTATTTCAAATGGAGATGGACAGATTTTTGATATCTTGGCTAATCAAGGAACACAGGAGGAAAAGCAGAGCTGAAGCCGAAGGTCTACTATGATTGCACTGAATGGGCAAGCAGGCTTAATGGGCTGTATGGCCTACTCTTGTTTCTGCTGTATTTCTTACATTCGCACGCTGAAATGACAGATGAAATTTAATACAGAGATGTAAACCGATTTAGAGGAAGAATGGGGTAACAATATGAATAGATTTTGAAGTGGGTAAAAGCGTACAAGGCAGCAGGACAAGTCTTACAAGATTATTAAAAGGTAGGATGAGATCCTTGGCCCCAAAAATAGAGCACAAAAGCAAGGAGGTTTGTTAAATTTCACCAAATATTAGTTAGGCCCCAGTTGCACACTTTCATAGAACATCAAGGCCTTAGAGGACGCAGAAGCTAATTAAAATGCTAAGAAGGACTTCAGTTACATGGAGAGGCAATAGGTAGCAAAGTTATAATCATTTGTGTTGCTATCTCAGAAAATTAAAATCCTTATGAAGGGAACTGAACAATAATTAGACCTCTGTATTGTTGTAGTGGAGTGCATTAAAAACTTTTTGAATGTCTCTCCTGGCACTGTAATCATAAGAAAATACACTCTCTAATGGGTACAGAGACTGGAGTCAGACAGGAAGTGTATTTGATGAGCAGATTGTTCATGACAAAAGTCCACACTCAAAAAATTTTGACGCAAGTAAAGAAAGCTTCACAATAAGAATCAACCCTTGTTTCAATATTATTGTTGGGCGTTTTCAGGAAAAAAGGCTGTGCAATTCTGTATCAGTTTTGTACCCTTTCCTAAAAAAAGCTATGACTGGGTGAACATATTCATGATGGGGCACAGACTATTTTAATATATTTACTTAAAAAGAGAGAGTTAGTTCTGTGATAGGGCCATACAGGTTTTGAATGAGTGAGTAACGTATCTGGAATTAATTTCCTTACAATAAGATAAAACTGAATTCTACTTGAAGAAACTGAGCTGTTCTCATTAAAAACAGAAATGGTTAAAAGAGGATTTTTGCTCAAAAATGTTTCAAATTCATGAGCTTTGATGGAGTAAATGAGGACAAACTCTCATACTGCTTGTATGGATCTGAAAAGATTTAAATTTATAGGCAAGTGGCAAAATAACCATACAGAGTGCAGGGTTGTTATGATACAGACTACGTTGCATAAAAGAGAGTGCGGCAGCAGGTTCAGTAAGTACTTCAAAAAGTAAAAATTGGGTTAATATCTGCAAGCAAAAACTTTTCAGGGCTGCGGGGAATAAGCTAGGGTGTTGAATGTTCTGATAGCGCTTTCAAAGTGCTGGACAAACACAACGACAATTTATCTTTACCATCTGCAGCACTTTGCTTTTGGATAGGTTGAACTTTATTATTCCATAAAGTTTTTCCCTTACAGTTTTACACTGTTTTCTTTCTCTCTTCCCTCTGCCAGATTGACCCATTGGGTAGGAGAAACTGTGAGATGATTGGCAGAGGTCAACTACCATATAGATATACAAGAAAGCTATTTACAGTGTCAAAAGTCACACGACACCAGGTTATAGTCCAAAAGATTTATTTAAAATTGCAAGCTTTCAAAGCACTGCTCATTCATCAGGTGAAGTGGAGGGAAACGCACAGGCACAGAATATATTGACAGAGAGATAATGGCAAGCTAATTCCAGGTGATTAAGAATAATCAACAGTTAAAATATAAATAGTGTGAATAAAATGTTGACAGCTGAATAATAAGTGAAGGAATGACCTATGAACCAATTAATAAAGGCAGAGAAATAATTACAAATAATCGAAAATAAGATGGTTCTACAGAAACCAAATCGACTGGAATACCATGAGTAGGTATCAGAGTTGCATAACAAGGGTCTAACAAAAGTAACAAATCAAGTAAAAGTTACAATAGTGTACAAACTATTTGAGGCAGAGAGATCATCACAAGTAATTAGTTTGTACAATTTTTGATGACTTGTTACTTTTGTTATCAACATGCAACTATGATACCTACTCATGGCATTCCAGCCAATCAGTTTATCTCTAGCACCATCTTATTTTCCATTATTTGTAATTACATTTCTGCTTTAATTAATTCATAGATCATCCCTTCACTTGTTCAGCCTGTCAACACTCTACTCACACGATTTGTACTTACCTGTTGATATTCTTAACGACCTGGAATTATCTTGCCATTATCTCTCCACCTATATATTCTGAGCCTGTGCGCCTCCCTCCACTTCACCTGACGAAGGAGCAGTACTCCAAAAGCTTGTGATTTTAAATAGATCTGTTGGACTGTAACCTAGTGTCATGTGACTTTTGACTTTGTCCATCCCAATCTAACACCCGCATCTCCACATTACGGCTAACAACATTGGCTGCAAAGCCATTATCAGGAGAATAATCTTTGAAACAAAAAATGTATTGACGACAGTGAAAACCATGGCTCTGTATTATCAACTTTATTGCTAACCCTGGAGTCACCAATTGATAAAAAACATGGCCCCTATGAGGGGAAAAAAAAAATCAGAAAAACCAAAGTAAGTACAACATGATCAAGGAGATTGTATGAAGCAACCTGATTAATTTTGATAGATTTATTTTTCCACTTAATGTATCTCTTGAACTCAATTTGTCCTACTCGTTTGTGTCGATAATTGTGACGAAAGCAGCTGAGAAAAATTGCAACACAAACACTTTACCACCAATTGAAATCCAATTTCTGAAAATTCCCAGTTGTTTAGCACTGCATTCCAGCATTTCAATTCAATCCCTTATCATAACAATCCAGTTTAATTACTCATTAAGTTTCAAATTTATAAGAATTGACTAAATGAAAGGGCTCAAAAGAAGATTCGAGAAGCAACTTAATGCTTCGCATTAAATGCTGTGAAACATCATTCTTTTATGTTGGCTTGTTGATGAGGATATAGATGTCAGGATTTAAACAGTAAATTTGAAGCAGCTCACTTATTGTACCATGGATTATGCATGTGCAGGAAATAAGTGGTCACCTTACTGGTGTGGCATGAACAGACGGAACTTTATTCCCCAGGGCAGAAATCTGGTTTGTGTGTTTGACGCATCCATCATCCTTTAATCATACATATAATTCACCCAAGTCATCTTAAAAGTAAGAGGAGCAACTTTCACAGTATCCCAATTGAACCTCCACTCTCAAATGCAGAGTAAAAGTTTACACAACAAACTTTCAACAAAGTCATCGCATAAGACTTGGCTAAAGTACAACTGTTTACATAAAATGTTTATTATTGCATCATATTTAATTTTACTTTTGTTCATTATTGACAATGTTATTGATTCACTACTCAAGCCTCTAAAATCAATTTGCTCATAAAACATTAAACATGAAATTACTAAATTAAGCATACAAGAAAACTACTTCCCATTATGTGAGCAGCAAGAAATTGCAGGAGATTCAGTAGCAACAGATCCACTTTAAATATGCAACTATGTTTAATGACATAAAATGTACATTTACCTGTTGGCAACACTTGGTCTCTTTCCTTCAAAGTGATCCACGGTCTCTGAGGAAGCTGCTCCGGATGAACTTGAGGAAAGAAAACATAAAACTTTCAAAATGCAAGACTGCCATTTTATGTCTTCCCATGGTCTTGCTTGCTACACACCAGCTACCGCTTAGAATAGACAATTTCTAATTGCACACCTGCATTTTTGAAGTAAAGCAAAATCGTGCATTTGCTGGAAACTTGAAACAGGCATAAAATATCCTGGAGGAATTCGGCAGGTCTCGCAGCATCTGTGGCGACCGTGCCAGCGGAAAGTGGAGGGGTAGAGGGAAGAGAGTCAACATTCTGAGTCGAATACGAGCTTCAGAAGTAGGGTCATACTCGACTCAAAACGTTAACTCTGTCTCTCTGCTCTCTCCCTCCCTTCCCCTTCCCCACCCCCACCACCCATACTTGCCAAGTTTCTTCAGCATTGTGCACGCTAGTTTACATTTGTGAAGTAACCACTAAAAGCTGCCAAAACAAAAAAAAAGCTTACTCAAACTGGCCTACTCTTCTTGCCCAAATTGCTGAGGAGACATAAATTTCAAATCCCATAACACCAACTGTTAAAATCTAAAGTCAAACACAGAAATCTAGAACTTAAAAAAGAAATCGATAATGGTGGGCATGAAATGGTGAAACGTGTTCACTCTCATGTTTTGGGCAAGAAAATTTGCTATTCTTTGCCTATATGATTCCAAACCAACAGCAGCAGTACAATTGACTTGAACTCTCCTTTGAAATAGCCTTATGTCTCACCATCAGCGTCAAGGACAAATGTGGACTTTAAAATAAATGTCACTTTGTTAGTGTCACCCATCAGCTGTGAATTTATTTGGAAAAAAATTGCAGCAGTGAGAAAACAGAAAATAATAGGCCAATGAAAATGATAGTGGGAGAGAAGGAGAAATGCAAGACACAATTATGTCTAGTTTGTGGCTCTGCTAAGTGTAAGAAATACCAAAAGATCATGCACACAAAATCAGAATACAATACACTGGAACATAGATTTTCTTTTTCTGTTAGGGATTTTAAGAATTTAAAAAAAAAACTGCATACATTAAATGTTTTTAAAAACAACTGGAGTATACATTATGAAAGATTGTGGATACAGTCAATGGAAAGAGCTCACAAAATACCTGCTAAATTATCAAGCATGTAGTTCAGTAGCTTTCTTGTTCCGTCTGGTTCCTGATAGAGGTTCAAAATATCCTGTGACAAAGGATTGCCTGTCACCAAAACAGAAACATCACAATTATGTTAATCTACACATGACTACTTACTGCCACATTATCAAAAACACATTTCTAGTTTGTTGCACTGAATAATAGAATTTGATATCAGTATATTTTCACAAAAAAAAATCCTGATTTCATCTCAGCCACTAAAATAAGCTGAGAGAAGGCCAAGAATGTTCCCCCAAGTACAGAGAGGAAAAAAAAAAAATCAGACACTACTTGGCAAATCACTTGCACAAAACCAGCACACTAAAAGAAAAATGAGAACTACTGACAAAAATGTGACATGAAATCAATGATCTGCCATATCAACAGTGTGTATCATGAAGGAGGACGAGCAATGTAAAAGGGAACAAACTCTTTTTGTAATGAAGCATGCCACCTCACACTCACTGCATTGTAAATATATTTCTTATACTTGCATTCACATCCAATAAGTTCAGTCAAATTGATGCTTTATTACATTGCAGTTACTGGTTTCAAGGAAACCATTCCTGAAATGATATTCATAATCGCCAACAAAATACAGCACAAGTTCAATTTTGCATTCCTGTAAATTTGCTGAACTACTAGCTTGCAATTTCTGATGTTGTACTTGTAATTCATGTCATAGAGTCTAACAGCACAGAAATAGACCCTTTTAGTCCAAACTGTCCATGCCCCCTACCAGGTTTCCCAAACTAAATTGGTCCCATTTACCAGTGTTTGGCATTGACAGCATAATTTCAGTCTAGAATTAGTGGGATAGTTTCAAAAGAAAGATGGATGTATAGTTTAACACTGAGAACAGGAGAAATTTCTTCTCCCGGTGGGTCATTAGTCTTTGGAATTGTCTACCTCAAAGTAATATAGGATGGGTCACCGAACATTCAAGATTGCGTTCAATATATCTTCAATAGACAACGAAGTCAAAGGAGGGTTGGTACAGGAGTCAGGAACATGATGGCCATAATCAGATCAGCTCTAAATTATGCTGAATGGCAGTGCAGACTCATGAAGTCAAACAGCCTACTGCTTCTCCTATTTACATTTTCTCTAATGACGCCATTGTAAGTTAAGCTTTGGATTGCCAAGTGTATGTCAATAATAGCAGAGAGGTTTTCTCACAAACATTGGAAAACACTCAAATGAACTAACTTTGAGAAGTCTTGAAATGTACATCTTCTATCAATAACTGAAATTGAAACAAAGGGAGGATGTAAGGGGAAAACAAAAGTGCACAAATCGGGGCCACAACAAGGTTAACAGAGATAAAAGCTGCTACTCAAGTCATTTTGTGAACCATGCACTTTTTAAAAAAATGTTTTACCAGGCATTACACAGTAAGTTTACATTTAACAAGGAGCTATGAAAAGAAAACGTACAAATCATTTCAACATTTCACTTACTTAAAATTAGAACAAACTGGACAAAAATCTGCAAAACGAATCATCAAGTAATATATTCAATTACATCTGTACCCTTATTTTTAAAACCTAAATCACAGAACAGGTTTTAAAAAAGTAACTAAAACAAAAGTTACCCTTAAAATTAGGGTAGTGGTGTGGGAGGGGTAAAAGGATTCAAGAAATCCATCAGTAAAGTTATAAAAGTTGTCAGAAATCAAGACAGGATTATTAACGTGCATAATAATACTGATCAACCCTGACCTTTTAAACCTAGGGTCTGTAGCTGGAACAGTCTTCCTAGTTCGTAAGGCAAAACCCGTAACAGATTGTTATTTAAAAGCAATTCCCTGCAGGAAAAGAAAACAAAAATGCTTAAATGTAGAACTTTTTCCCACCTGTACAGATATTGTTAAAAGAAAAATACAAAAACATTGTTACTATAAAAGACCTTCCTTTAAAAAAAAAGCAGACACCATGCAAAAACAGAAAAGGAAATAAATATAGTTTCCAGAGTCAAACAGGGAAGTTCTACCAACATCTCTCCCCTTATGACAGCTTTAAAGGACATGAAGTTTAATCACAATAGCATCACCTGATTATGTCCACAAAAAGCTAAATTCACACTCCACTAACAATAATTTTGCTTTAAATACATCTGAGAATTTGCAGTTGATCTGGGTTTTAGTTTTTTTTAAGAGCCACTGTTTTGGAGTTTTTTTAAAAAACTCATTCATGGGATGAAGGAATTATGGCTAGGCTAGTATTTATTGTTCATCCCAGAGGCTAGTTAAGAGTTAACCGCATTGCTGTTAGTCGGGAGTCACATGTAGGCCAGACTAGGTAAGAATGGCTGTTTCCTTCCCTAAAAGGACATTAGTGAACCAGATGGATTTTTCTGACAATCAATAACGGATTCATGGTCATCATTAGATTCTTAATTCCAGATTTTTTTTTAAAAACTGAATTCAAATTCCAACAGCTCCCATGCCAGGATTAGAATTCGGGTCCCCAGAACATTACCTGGATCTCTGTATTAATAGTCCAGCAATAATATCACTAGGCCATTGCCTCCTTGCGACCAGTTTGTAAGTGATAATTTGACACGATTACAGAATTTGATCTACTGCTGAAAATTTTAAAGTTTACAATGATGACGAGCTTCTCAAGACAGTCCCATGTTGTAACAATACATTATACATGGTCAGTTATGCTAAACACCAAAAGCAACACACGTTAAACTACAAGCAGCCACATAGGATATTCTGTAGATCTGCCTGATCACTTCCAATCAAGAATAACAGTGAACATTCAGACATTAAATGGGAAGACGTTTCAAGAACATCCCTCATTCCCAACCAGCCCGAAAGCAAGAATCAAGAATAAAGCAGCTGCAAGTGCGTTTAATCAAGAGTGTCGAGTGAAACATCCTACATGACCTCCTGAGATTCCAGCCTTCCTGGATGCCAGTGTGGAGTCAATTTGTTGTGCTTCAGCACTTTGCATGACATCAGCATTATAGAGTTAATAAAATCAATGGACTGTAAAAATTATATGACCTGGCTTTTTGGTTGCAGTGCTCAAATCTATATGCAAAACTAGTCACCACCTCATACTAAGTGGAGTTGTGCACTGCAACAGCAGCGTTTGTCCCTTTCTATTTAAAACTAACCTCCAGACCTAAACCGAACACTGGGTTAGAACTGTCCTGTGTCTTCCTAAAAGGTGAAACCATTCCTGTGGCTCCCACGTAAGAGGCCATTGGTACTGGCTCTGCACAAGCTGGTCACGGAGACTGTCCTCACAGTCTACTCCGACATTAATCTCAGTACTGGGGTCTAATTGCCTTGCAGAGGTGACAGCGACAGCAGTTATTTGTCAATGTGCCCTCTGTGGAAACATTTCAGGATTAAAAAGTATGCAAAAGAAGTTTTGATGCACTAGTGGCAAGTGTACTCCCTAACAAAGCGGCTTCAGGCTTTCAGCAATACTTGAAATATTAAGGAATTTTTAAAGATCATTGCTGAGGAAGCCTAGCCAACAAACCAGACAGGGCTGTAGATGAAAATCACTTTTCATTTTGAATGCTGAACAGGATTCTCGATATAAAACAACCAATAACTGTTACCTTAAAAAAGGTAGCAACTAATCATTTTGATTCATTCCTTTGAAAACAACAGCGACTACTTGTGGGACAAAAAAGTGATTTCTTTGACATAGTTCTGAGTTTCACGCTGAAGGGGTGATCAAGTACCTGTGAACAGTCACACTCAACCTTCTGGTATTAGACCTGAAAGAGACAAATGTACTGGCTGGTGCTTCTGAACAGTGAATATTACGCAAGATTTCCTTCCATCAGACACATGATTTGGGAAGAATGACAGGCAACTGTTCGTCACATGATACAAGTTTGCAGAAGTGGCTAAATTCCATCAGAATCCACTCCTACTTGGGAACATACTTGCCTTCAGGTTTCCCTTATCTGTGGTAGCCCCTGAATTATCGGAACCAAAGTTCTGTATTTTCAGGTTTGGGACACATGGCTGACAGACGGAAAGACCAAATTTATGGATGCACTAGATGGCAACGGAGTAAGTTGGAGGTCAGCTGAGACATTGGATGCTTGGATGCCCTAACACCATGTTCAACCTTCAAATCCATCCAGGTTCTAGCAGTTACAATTGACTCCACTACCTACTGGTCTCTGGGAGGACCAAACATGCAGCAACTTAAATCGATTCTCACCCTCATTGAGGCAGTCATTGATGCAGATTCCATTCTTAAAAAAACGTTTAATGATTTGAGGTGAATACAGATCTCTATTAATATAGGTCTTGCAGCTTGACACATCTTGACCCATTTGACTCATAAATAAATGCAAGACTAATTAGTTATGGGATTGAGGTATTTGCACAAGATGCCTTGACCAGAGTTTCTCTATTTTTTTCTGTTGTATGATAAGTGTTTTTATATCTTTGTAGTTTGCAAAAATTGCTGTCTTATGTTATGCCTGAAACTCTATAAAACAGCTCAATCAAACTGTTCTCCACCTTTGTATCATAGCATTGCTTTGAGAACCAGTTCTGTGTTATTTACAATGCTAAAAAGAAATCAATCCAATTTGGTGCTGGAACAAAATGCAGATTTGAAAGGAATATTTTGTGACAGCTTTCTGGCTACTAGATAGAAAAGTTTCATACACAAAAAGGATTGCATTGTTGGGAGTGTAGTCTACATGACTTGGGCCACTTGCAACGAAACAATTTTGTTTTCAAACTGAGGAACTGTTTATATTACTATTCATGCACTATAGTCATGTCTAAATTATAGTAAAGAGCGTAGTTTTCATTCAACATCGAGAAAATATTTCAATTTTGGTCATTTAAAGTGAAGAATGTTTTCTGTTAACACATGCTGACTGGAAGTCAATATTCTGTAAAATTCATTCATACCAAAGACAAAGGCGATCTTCAAAACAAACCAACAAGTTTTCCAATTCTTTCCTTCCCGAACCTAGATATTTTATCTTCCCATAATTAAACTTTCCTCTCATGTATTGTCCTCTTGTCCTAATCATCCTAGCTAAAAGAAAAATGACTTCAATCTCCCTTCTAACAGAAAAATAAACATAATTAACTGTGCGCAAATACTAACGTAATTTTCAGAGTAATTTCTTTCAGATATCGAAGGAGTTAAACTTTTATACCTAAAAGGCTCCGGAGTCCATCATCGGATAATTCCACTACTTGCAATGCTAAAGAACCAAATCGGTTTGGAAGCTAAGATTTCTTAACAACCTTGGCAACTTCTGAATCAATACTTGGGTATGTTTAACAATCATGCATTTCCCAATAATGTTAAATTGTCTTTGTCCTGAATTTAGAGGAGATGCGTCCAGTTCCATGGATGCATAGGAGAGAAAAAAAAATTCTTTGGGATTTAAGCCTCAAGTTTCAATGCGCCTTGCACTGTTGTCACATCAGGCTTTATGCATCCAATAATTTCATGGAACTTCTGAATTGGAATAGTTAAATTTAAATCTTTTGATGAGAAACAACAGAAGAAGAAAACTAAGACAAAAAACATCCTCTCCCCAAACTATGCATAGAGAGAAACCAGATATATCAAACCTATATTTTAATCATCAGTCAGAACAATATGCATATTTGGAACATGGAAACTGACTTCTTCTCAGCTTCTTTCTTTTAAATCGTTCATTCATAAATCTAAGGTAATGATTTAAAATATCCTAAAGACAACATTCAATGATAAAAATCACAAAAAAAAGCACAACATAGATTAAAAACAAATGCAGACAGACCATCTTTACAGTACTATTTTGTCTAAAACTATACAAATGCTATTCAAACACTATACAAACAACACTAGGTCAGATCAGGTAACTAGAAGGTTGATCGAAGCTGAAAGGTTTTAAAGGAATGTTTCAAAAGGACAAATACAAATTGAGAGAGGCAAAGAAGTATAGTGATGGAATTAAAGCACAGATGCTAACTGAAGGTGCAGCCACGGCTGCCGGGGCAGCGGGGGGGGGGGGGGGGGGGGGGGTTGGTGGGTGACTAAAGTTTTAGATGTTCAAGAGGTTACAATTAGATGACCATAGATGTCTCAGAACTGTGGGAATGAAACACATTACAAAGAGATAAAGAGGCAAAGCCAGGATAGAATCTAAAAACAAAAATAGACATTTTAAAATCAAAATGTTGCTTGCATTAGGTCATATAAATTAGAGAGCAGAGGGGTAACACAAGATCAGGGCTGTTGTGGTTGCTTTAGTCATGAAGTTAGACGCCTTTACAAACATAATCGCAACAAACAAAAGTGGAATTGCTTATTTCAGGACTGAACTGTTGAAAAGCTATTCAGGAAAAATAATGATCCAACAAGGTAAACACTTCAGTAGAAATTGGATAAGAATGGTTCTAATGAAACTACCATGAGAACTTCCAACTTGCAATAGTTGAACTGTTTGTTAGAAATTAATCTTTAAATCACTTACCTGAGTGACACCATGTTTCCAAGCTCAGCTGGTAAACTGCGCAATTTATTAGATGATAGATCCAAATAAGCTAGATTATGGAGCTTGGCAATATCAGGTGGAATGCGTGCAAGGTTATTGTCCTTCAGGTGCAGTACAGTCAAGTGTGTTAAAGACCACAATGAAGTACTCAAGCTCCTCACTTTACCTGCATAGGGAAAAGGAATTTGAAAATATTTCTGCATATATTGACTGCATAACAAGAAATTTATTGCCAACTGGCTATTAGAATTCTAGAGTGGTGAATGTTTATGTAACTGACTTTGGAGCCTCTTAAGAGGATTGAGAGGGTATTTGTAAGCCACTAGATTTCTGGGTTGTGGTCATGGTATACTTATTAGGTCGAGAACAAAAATTCAGGTAACACTGCTTTAACTTTAACTTTACCATAGGACAAATATCGTTGAGAGTTGATGACGGTTGAAATCTTGCAATAGAGGGGATTCCTGCACCCATTCAGGTGGAGGATATCAATGTGAAAGCCATCATTTTCTGATGCATAGGCACTGGACTGCAAATGCCAACCATAAACAGAACAGCCAGCTCAGGGAAATGAGTTGGAACAGAAGTGATGTCCAAAACTTATAAATCAATAACATTGTATCTACTGAATGGTCAGGCGTATGTCCATGTCAAATTTTAATGAGAACCAGCTCTTGCAAAACTAGCATGATCACAGGGTTGGTTAGTAGCAGGAACAGTGCCACAGGGTGTTCAGTTAGACCACATTTATAGATTCAAACACAAGACTGGTGTCCTAATCTGTTTGATGCAAAGAATGGTAGCCTTGGGCTTGAAGCACAATAGTTACTCAGATAACAAGGTATAGAGCTGGATGAACACAGCAGGCCAAGCAGCATCAGAGGAGCAGGAAGGCTGACGTTTTGGGCCTAGGCCTTTTAAGTCACGTATTGGTTACTTGCAGGTATTTTCTAAATCAACCTGTTCTGTTCTAACATGTTATGACACACCTATGGAGCAGGGGAACCCAGGCCTTCTGACCCAGAGGCAGGGGCACTACCACTACATCACTGAAGTCCTCTTAGGAAATTGCTAGAACATTTAAGACAGCTTAACCACAGTTTGCCAAATCTCTGTTGATTTAGAAACCATTAGATAGAATTCTTTCTAACCAACCTGTGTTTAGAGATGTTATGACACGCCTCTAAAGCTGGTGGGACTTGAGCCCAGGCCTGTTACACTGCACGACAAGATTTTTCTTCCCTTATTTGTTCCTTCTCTACTTTTAAACTGAGCAAAGATATTGTTATTTTAATCAATTTGTTCAAACATGTTAGATCACATAATTGCAGCAGGTTGGACTTGAACCCTGGCTTTCTGACTCAGGAGTAGGGACTCTCCAAGCATTTTTAGAACAAACTGTTCAGATATGTCATGTCTTCCAAACATGTGGGACTTCAACCCAAGCCTTCTAGGGACATTTACCACTGTGCCACACAGCCCTTGATGCACTTCAGTTGTATGTATTTTCTAAATCAGAGATGTTACGACACTCTTCTGGAGCAGGTGGAATTTAACCCCAGACCTCCTGACTTAATCTCTGCACCAGAGGAGGCCTTTATTGCTTACTAGTAGATATCTTCTACATCAACCTATTCAGAAATGCTCTTACTTACCCCTGGAGCAGGGGGGACCCGAACACAGACCTCCTGATTCAGAGGCAGGTAGACTATCACTGCCTACTTGTAATCAGATTTGATTGATTAGAGTGATGTGTCAATACTTCATCAAGATTTGATCCACTGGATGGTACTTAAAAATGCTCAGGTTGTGTTTCCTCCAAACCTCTCCTTTTTCCTCCCAAAACTCCATCTGGCACAGTTCAAAGAATGTTGACAACATTTCAGTACTTTGCTCAAGTGGTCATTTTTCATGGCTAAACCCAAACCATATTTTAGAGTTTAATGCCTGCATTTGTTGTGGCATCTTCCATTCACCAGGTTTGCACAGCTATTGGTAACACATGAAACAAAAAAAGCTCAACTTTATCCACAAAACGAACACTAAGTGATGCTCTGGAGGCAGAAGCAAACCAACTAGTTATGCCATGATTTTGGTTAAGTGTACTAGCCAATCATTTGACAGTCTACACATATGCAAAGCAACAGGTTCCAAAGTGTAATGCATTTACTGGAAGGCTGGGAGTCTGCATTATGTACTGTTAAACATTGGAGACTGATGCAATTAAGTCACTCTCCAAAACTCAGATTATAGTTTAAAATCCATCTACTAGTTCAAATCAAATTAACTGCAGAATCCTGAAAAACAAACAAGGAATAGAGAAAGAACTCCAACACAACAAAGCAACACAATGCCACACAATTCTGAAATAAGAAGAGGAACAAAAGGCACAAAATTTCACTACCTGTATTTCAACTTGAATGGAACCTGCAAATAGCTGTATATACACACAACCTTAAAAACGCTCTTGCATGAGGAAAAGAAAGCCGCATTTAAGAATCACATCTACTCACCCGAGATTTCTAATTCCGCCCAGTGTGTTTTTTTCCCATTGGCTGCTTCTTCTAATGACATGATTGCATATATTCTGTGTAGATCTTTTGGATCATATTTTTCCTTTGGCATTCCTATGGAATTCTGTGGAGAAAAAAAAATCTCTGGTCAATATAACAGAGCAAACTGCACTTGTTACTTTCCTCTTAAAGAAGAAGTAGTTAAAAATGCAAGAACCTTCCAGTTTATTTGCAGCTGGTAATCAACAAGTGACAACACTGTTAGGTTTTGATTCAGTTCAGTGATTTTAAATGAACATTTGCAGAACCACAACTTGAACTATTACTTCAAGCCTACTCAGAAGTATTTGTATAGTATTGATTTCTTTCTTAAAATATCCTCAAGTGAAGACACAGGAAGAGATGATAAAGATTACTTGAGGATGGTACAGGCTGCACAATAGGTACATCAAATCAAGGTTCAGTAGCAGGACCTCTTTTGTATTAAAAAAATGACTAGATGTTGGAAAATTTGAAAATATTACTCCTTATCCAAATGATGCCAAATTTGGAAGTGTGGGAGACAATGGGAACGATGCCAATTGACTGCAACAGCACATTAGACAGTCAGAACGGGCAGACAGAATAAATACAGACAAATGGCAAAGTGGCATTTTAGAATCAGATGCAGGAAAAGCAATACAGACTTAACGGCACAATTCTAAAGAATGCTCAGGAACAGAAAGATCTAAAGGTTCATGAGGATTGACCTTTGAAGATGGGAGGCCATATTGGGAGAGTAGTTAGCAAAATATATGCAATGCTGGACCTCAGTAGTAGAGGTACGAGTGAAAAGCATGGGAGTTATGTTGAAACTTTACTTAATAATACTTTGGTTAGCCTCAACTAGGTATTGCATTCTGTTCTGGTCACCATAACCAAATTTAAAATACGATACTCATGATGTTGTGCCTTGATTTGATACATTTACTCAAGTACAGTGAGCAGCCCTGATTGCCATCTTACAAAATAAAAATAACAAGACAATGGACAGGGTGCAAAAAAAAAATTTGAAAAGGACGATACCAGAAATGCATAGGCATACTGTCAGTAAAAGGACTGGAAAGCTGGGTATCCTCTTTCTGTAGCCAAGAAGCTTTTAAAAAGTTATCTACATACCCCAACATTTTGCCAATTATCTTTTTATTGGTATCTCTGATAATCAGCTCCCAGTGGAAAATTGACATGTTTACTCTAAACCCCGATTAATTTTTAAAGAGGACTAAAAAAAATTGACCTTCTTCGCTCCAAAGGAGAACAATTTGCCCTTCTCTAGTCTCGCCACATGATTGAAAACATTCATCACTGGTAGAATTTGGAAAGTTTCTCATGCCTTCTTCCTCTTCAGTAGACTCTCCCTATATCTTTGACTTGCTGTTCCTCACTTATTTAGAAGATTAAAAAACTACTTCAACTGTGCATTTGGTTATTTCTCTGTTCATCCTCACCTCTGCTTTGCCCAGCCATTGCTCTACACTAGCGATGTTATTGTACAAATTTAAATAGGAATATAAATTAAATTATGCAAGGAAAGTGAGGTTCCACTGCATAGGAACAAAATACAACATTACAAACATAAAACTTCTGTATCACACATCAAACTTTCTCAGGATGGCAGCCGGTGACTAGTGGTGTTCCGCTTGGGTCAGTGTTGGGACAACTTTTCATTTTAAATGTTAATGATATAGATGAAGGAACTGAGGGCATTCTGGCTACGTTTGCAGATGATACAAAGATATGTGGAGGGACAGGTGGTATTGGGGCGGGGTGGGGTGCAGGGTGGCTGCAGAATGATTTGGACAGGTTAGGAGGGTGGGCAAAAAAAAAAGTGGCAGATGGAATACAATGTGGGTAAGTGTGAGGTCATGCACTTTGGTAGTAAGAATAGAGGCATAGACTATTTTCTTAATGGAGAGAAATTTCATTAATCTGAAGTGCAAAAGGCCTTGGGAGTTGTAGTCCAGGATTCTCTGAAGGTAAACTTGCAGGCTAATCAGTAGTTAGGAAGGCAAATACAATGTTGGCATTTATTTTCAGAAGACTGGAATATAAAAGCAGGGATGTATTTCTGAGGCTTTATATGGCTCTGGTCAGATCATATATAGAGTAGAGTACTGTGAGCAGTTTTGGGCCCCATACCTCAGGAAGGATGTACTGGCCGGGGAGTGGTTCCACAGAAGGTTCATTAGAATGATCCCAGCAATGAAAGGCTTAACGTATGAAGAACATTTGAGGACTTGGTCTATATTCTAAGGAACTTAGAAGGATGAGGGGTACCTAACTGAAAATGAACTGCTTGGACAGAGTGGGCATTGGAAAGGGGTTTCCATTAGCTGGAGAGACTAGGACCCAAGAGCACAGCTTTACAGTAAAAGGGAAGACCCTTTAGAACAAAGATGAGGAGAAACTTCTTCAGCCAGAGAGTGGTGAATCTATAGAATTCATTGCCACAGAAGGCTGTGGAGGCCAGGTCGTTGAGTATATTTAAACAGAGATAGATAGGTTCTTGATTTTCATCACGGGGATCAAAGGTTACAGGGAGAAAGCAGGAGAATGGGGTTGAGAAACTTGTCAGCCGTGATTGAATATCAGAGCAGACTCGATGGGCTGAATGGCTTAATTTCTGCTCCTACATTTTGTGGTCTAACTGCCCCCAATCTACTTATATTGTGTGAAGTTATCTATTGGCATACCATGAATGCAGATTATTTCAAATATGCAGTTGGGAGTTCAACGGGGGGTGGGGGGTGCATGTGGGGTGGGGAGAGGGGAGAGGAGAAGAAAAATCTGTTCATGTGTATTTCATTTCAGTTTTACAGCTTTTTTGCTTTGAACAGGAAAATCTTGGGTTATACCTATAATTGCAGAGAGGGTGGCTCAAAAAAGTGGCAAAGGTAGTGATCTTATTTGGGGGGCTGAGAGTTGATTAAACCAAGAAGTATCTATTCTAACTTATTTGTGTAAACACATATTTAAAAAGATAGGTTCAGACTGATTTTGATACTTTTCTACATAACCCTGGATGTTCATATGATTCAATCTATGCAAACCAATGACATACATAGAAAAGGTACTAGGTAAATATATGTGTCTTTCCCACAACTAACAAAGCCAGCTGTTGCAAAGTTGCTTCAGTGCCTGAGATAAGCAGGTAGGCACATTTCATCCACTTGGCTGAATGCTGCTGTTTATAGTCTTCTGCTTCCAACAACATGCCACTCTTATCTTTTATGTGGAAGGTTGTGCAGCACTAGATTTGTAGCAGCAGTTTATTGGAGGTGGTTCTGCTATCATAACTAGGGCAAACATCAGAAAAACGGCAGAAAAAAAAACTTCTGAAAAGCACAAATCGATTAAGTTGGAAACAGACGTTCACTTTTAATGTTCAAAAGAAAACTAATTGAGCCCCGAGGCTGGATGTACCAATTTGTCTTATAATGTTTTGTTATTTAAAAATTCAGATATGCTTGCAATACATAATGCAATGCTGTTTGCCCTCTGTAAAAGCTCCATTATGCAGCAGTTTGAAAAAATAAATCAGACTTTAATGTAAACAGAAGCTACCTTGGCAAGAGATGGAGCACAACATGAGACAAAAATCTAATCAAAATTACTGACAATAATTGACCAATGTACTTAACCAAGGTACAAGAACACTGTACAAGAAACTGGGGGATGCAGGAATGAAAAGAGCAGCATAATTAAGATATCAGCACATCCGTGGAAACTTGAACAAAATAGTTTACTTTGTGTGATATTATTTTCTTTCTATATCCTGTAATATTGCTGTGAAGGGAAATTGTTCAATACCTTGAAACTCTGTTCCACAAATACTCCCAATAATTCTGTACAACACTCTGAAATATTTTGCTATATAGAGATCAGGATGGTATAATAGTTATACAAAGATTTTCAGAAGACATTGACCAAGATGCCTTACTCAAAACCCATTAAAAAATGAATTAGCTACAGGCATATATCATCGAAAATAAAATCCCCTGGGATAGGCATGAAAAACATGGGTCATGCATTTCGCAGGTTTGGAAGTGATGCACCTGGCATATTAATTCTGGATTCCCATTTGTTCTTAGCATATTCAGATGATTTGGATGGGGTTTTAAAAAGCACAATATTGAAATTGATGATCTGGTGAGGTACAAGCAAACAGTCCACTTGGGTATCCAACATTGTATGATGTACATCAAACCAAATGAACGGTTTGTGAATGCATTTTAAGTTTAGGTCCAAAAACCTAATAAACCTAAGGCAAACTGGTGTTAGAATCCACATCAATTTTTAACAAGTTTATAATTTTTTTAACACATTAGCAGATGGGAAGGGAAGTTAGACCATACAAACAAGGGGCAGAAGAGTGACATTAGGCCCTTTCAGCCTGCTTCACCATTTCACGGCTAACCTAATTGTAACCTCAAATCCACATTCCTGATTAACACAGAATATATTCAATTATGCCTTAAAAATATTCAAAGACTCTGTTTCCACCACATTTTTGAGGACGAGTGTTCCAAAGATTCACAACCCTCAGGGAAAAAAAACTTCATAGAATCATGGAAAAGTTAATAGTACAGAAAGAGGCCACTTAATCCATCTGAATAAACTAGCTACCATTCAGATCCCACGTACCAGCACCTAGTCCATAGCCTCATAGGTTCTTCGATTTTAGGTGCAGGTTCAGATTTCTTTCGATTAGGTTGATGGTTTCCACCTCAAACAGCAAACAAGATAGTGAGTTCCAGGCAATCTGGTTTCCTTAAATCCCATCAAATCCTTCTACCAGTCACCTCAAATTTGTGCCTCCAGTAAATGGCCTCTCCAGTAAGGGAAACAAGTCTTCCCTGTCTACTCTAAGTCACTCATTATCTTGTACACGTCAATTAAAACACCTCTCAGCTCCTCTGTTCTATAACCTGAGCTTATACAATCTTTCCATATGCCTGCAATTTTCAAGCTCTGGCAATATTGTTGTATGCTCCTCCGTACTCATTCTAGAACAATTACGTCCTTCCTGCAGTAGTAGGAACTGCTGATACTGGAGAATCTGAGATAACAAGGTGTAGAGCTGGA